ACAGGGTAAGGTCCAACCTCGAGCATCAGCAGGCATTTGTGTAAGGACTTGCTATCCCTGAGTACAGTTTTGGAGCTAGGCAAGCAAAATATGCCCTTTGGTGTTGGAGTAGGAAAAGATCAAATGAGTAATATTTCAAACATTTTTTCTTTTGAATTAAAATGCACGGTTTAAGCCATATTTCAATTATCAGCTTGACATTACTCTTTAAGCAAATGACTAGAGTTAACAAGAGAGCTACTACATTTTGAATACATTGATTTTCTGCTTGGTCTAAACTCTAAATAGCCGATTAGAAAGCTGTGAATCAGACAGACTCAGTGTACCTAATACATCCTGCAATATATTACAAACTGGAAACATTCGGATCTTTGAAGGTGAAATGAATTAAAAGCACATGATTGTTACAACTTCAATATATAAATAGTAACGACATACTAGCTCTTATCTGGCAATTTAAAAAATAGTCCACATTTTGTTATGCACGTCAACCTAATGCATAAAACTACTGAGCTTAAAGGTATAAAGAAACACAGATTTATTTTTCAAAAATGACTGTGAAATGAAATGAATACTTAATTGAACCGTTTCCAGTTACAGAATATGCTGATGTTGCCCTCCATTATTTTCATAAGCAGCGGGATATTTCTGCCACTGTGTCTCTCACTTCTGTCTTGGCATGACACTCTGGTTGTCCACATTTAGCCTGGGCCCCCATTTTATCGATCACAGGAATATCTCATCAGCTTAAATAGTATTCCTTGAATTAAGAATTAGTTGTGTTTGCTTAGCTCTACTCCCAGCACTGACAATGTGACCTTGGGGAAATGGCTTCAACTCTCAGTATCCCGGGTTACTCTATCTATAAAATTATATTAATGAAATGATAGCACGTACCATGTCATTGAGAAGGGTAAAATGTGATTATAACCGCACAGGCTTGTTGTTGCAATTATAATATCGGGAAAAGAATCCGTGTAATGTTTCTAAGCTCCCCTCCTTACCAAACAATAAAAAGTATATTTCACTATATTTTGGTTTCTGAAATTTAAACATTAGGATAGAATTGAGAAAGTGGAAGGAGACTTTATCTATTTGATGTGATTATTTAGCATATAAATTACATTTATTGATGCAAAGCTCCTCCCAGTAATTTTTCCAAGCTGTTTTCCTCATACAAATCCAGGTATCAGAGGGTCTTTGAGTTAAGGCAACTCAAGCATGGGCGACTTTAAGACTAGCGCAGTGGATAGCAGCATACACACATGGAAGCAAATCTAGAAGGAATATTTGCACCTTCAGCTGCCTTGGAAGGAAAGACAATGCAACTCTTGTGTAGGCTCTGCCTTTACCCTTACCTTTACCTTTACTGTCTCTTACCTTACCCCTGGCAAACCTTCCACTGCCTGTCAGATTTAATCATTTTATGCCACTATCTTATTTCCAGAAGAGCCAGGGGAGATTTTTTTTTTCCCACAGAGTTTCCCAGACAGGCCCAAGAACTCCTAAAGTATTCCCCCCACTCCATACTACAATTCAACTCAGGGCTCTAACTTCAGGAATCCGAAATCACGTTGAGGTTTTATTGATTAAAAACAAAACCAAACAGTGATACATTGGCCTTCCCATGGTTCATTTGCTATAGGTCTATTTGAAATAGATGAACAACTTTTAAACCAGATATCAGGATCTGGGTTGGGGGGGGGGGGGGTGGAGAATGACGCATTGGATAATTCCCATTCAGCTACAATATTGCATCATTGGAAAGTGAGATGGAAGTAGCCCAGTCCACTTGGCCAGGCTTCACTTCAGGAATTAGCCATGTTTGCTTGGTTGTGTTATACTGAAACAGTTTTTTGTTTCAGAGATAGAGAAAGTTTGGAGAATGCAGAAATGAAAGCAACCAAATGAAGGAAAATATTTTCTTTGAGGGCATCGTATAATCAGGTTTTTCAGTCTATAAAAATCAAAGCTGAATAGACTCAAAGTCTACAAGTCTATAAAACTGAAAAGAATAGAGAGAGGATAGAGATAGATTATTCATCAAATTCCAGAACAAAGGGCCTCCTTTGAAGCTTGAAAAAGGAGGATTTAGGATAAATGGAAAGAACTATTTTTTAACACAGTGGGGGATAAACTTTCGGAACTCATTATCCCAACTACTGCTATTCATTAAAAATATAAATAGATACAGAGACAAAGATTCATTTCTGAATAAATATCAGTAATGGGTTACTAAGGAATGTTCAGGTTTAGTTCAATGATTGGGAACTTTTGCATTATTGTCACTCATGCCTGGTTTTAAATTCTAGCACAGCCCTCACTGGAGAGATGGCTTAACCTTCAAAGCACTAGTTTGCATTGTGCCATAGAGATAATAACTGTACTTACATTTTAGAGTCATTGGGGTGATGAAATGAGGTGAAGCATGGTAACTTCATGATAGCATGTGATGATGATGAAGATACATGAAATGAAGAAGATGAAGACAAAGAAGACAAAGGAGATGAGGAAGAAGGAGGAAGAGAAGGAGAAGGAAGGAGAGGGGTGGGGGGAGGAAGAACAGAAGAAGAAGAAGGAGGAGGAGGAGGAGGAGGAGGAGGAAGAGGAGGAGGAGGAGGAGGAGGAGGAAGAGGAGAGGAGGAAGATGGAAAGAAAGGGAGGGGAGGGGATGCTGATGATAATAAAATTCTTCCAGGTTGATGTCTTGTCATTCTCAACTTAATATCGTGCACTATATTTCTGACATTTGCAGGACAGTCCTACCCAACAAAGAGTTACACTGTTCAGAATGCAATAGAATGCAAATAGGGCCCATTTGAGAAACATAAGATTTAGACCACAGATCTACATTGAGGAAAACTATTTTGTGCTTAATTCTCTTAATTATGAGTTACTAAGCTTTATTAACACATACACACGAATAAATGTATGCATATAGACACAGACACATGTGGATGCACACACACACACACACAGTTCAACTTTTTGACCCACTGAGTCTTTAATTTAGTAAGAAATTAAATGTCTAGTTTTCTAAGTTAATTTGACCAAGAAATGGAGTAATTTTTGGTTGTAAGCATAGGCTATCTTTTGTATATCCTAAGCCTGGAAAAATTTTCCTCTTTGAATTGTGTTTTACCTTTCTCCTGAAAATCTAGAAAACAATGAGTGGGAAGAAGGTTATTCCATATCAAACATTGGAAAATACATCTCTGTGCACATCCAACCTGTATCTGCAACCCCATGTTCTTTGCAACATCACTCTCAACAGTGAAGATATGGAAACTACTTAAATGTCAGTCCACAGGCAAATGGATAAAGAAAACGTGGTATGTGCAATATTCAGCCATGATAAAAAGGAAATCTTACCATTTGCAACAACTTGGATGAGCATCAAGGGCATTAGGCTAAGTGAAATAAGTCAGACGGAGACAAATACTATATCAGTTATATGTGGAATTTAAAAAAAGACTGAACTCCGAGAAACAAAGGGTAGAATGATGGTTGCCAGGCACTGGGGTAGGGGGAAATGGGAAGATATTGGTCAAAGGGTACATAATTCTGGTTATAAAATTATAAGTACAGCATGGTGATTATAGCTAATAATATTGATTCAAAATTTGATTGTTCCTAAGATAATAGATCTTAAATGTTCTCACCACACACAAAAAAAATCTAATTATGTGATTCGATGGAGGTGTTAACTAATGCTGTAGTGGTATTCATTTTGCAAATACAGATTCATGAATTCAATACATTGTACACTTTAAACTTATACGATGTTATATGTCAATTATATCTCAATAAACCTAGGGAGAAAAAAAGGAATTTGAGCCGAGTATTTTCTTTTACTCCCCTCAGTCCTTCCTAAAAATGGTCTGAAATGAGGTATATTATCTCTGAAGGCTCATTGCTGATCATGTTTTGCTATCCATACTTGGAACAGATTTTTTTCTTTTTAATTTTCCAAGTGTTATTTTTTTCCTCTTCTACCACACAGCTCTTCTCTTCTGAAAATATATTTCTTTTCTTTTTTACCCACTGCAAAGCTAATTCTAAACTCCACCGTTCTTTCCTAACATTCATTTAAAAGACTCATGGGGCCACCATTATGCGTGCGTGTACACACACACACTCACACACACACACACACACACACACCTGTCTTCTCCGGAACACACATCTCTAACGCAATGTTGTGGTGCCTTCACATTTCAGGCAGAGGTCCTGACACTCAGTCTGCATAGCTCTTATCTGTCCTACACAGGAGGAGGCAAAGGGGTCTGGGGGCAATGAAGAGAGAATATTTGTTGCAGTTCAAAGCAAGCCGTCTTTTTTTTTTCTTTCTCTCTCTCTCTTTTTTCTCCTTCCAAGATAAATAGAAGTAGAAAGGACAAGCAGTTTTGATTAGCATTTAAAATGTTGTCAATTTTTAATGAAAGCGTAACCTCAAACCATCAACTTCACACAAGCTGGAGACAAGGTTGCAAACCGAATGCTAATATATTTGGCACACTTTCTCACACTTGTCCTTCCGTGAACTTTCCTTGTTGCTAATTTGTTATGTCAGCCCATATTAGTAGGTTTCAAAAGTCCAAACTGGCAAGTGTGGTGACCCAAAGAGAAGCAGTCTTCAGAAGATCTTTAAATCGCACAGGAGTTGGGCGGTTTATTCGCTGTGTATTTATAGTCCTGTAGACACTACTACTCATTGGAGGACTTCCCATGGTTCAGGAGTCATCTTCAGAGTCTCTCTAAACCTGTTTCTGAATGTGACATTTTTATTCACCAAAGAAATGCTTGCCAGTGAGTCAATAACATTCATTGCATGCAAATGGTATATTTTTTGCACCTTTTATTTATAAAGCCCAAAACAGCAGAAGGAATGCATGTTACTGGGGCACCTGGGTGGCTCAAAAGGTAAAGCAGCCAACTCTTGATTTTGACTCAGGTCAGGATCTTGCAGTTTGTGCGATTCAGCCCAAGGCGCTGCTTGGGATTCTCTTTCTTCCTCTCTCTCTGCCTCTCTGCCACATTCAAAAAAATAAATAAGTAAACATTAAAAAAAAAAAAAAGGAATGCAGGATATAATGATTTCCCTCAAGGAACTTATAGTTTTAATAACAATACAAGGGAAAAAAGTATGAAAAGGACAGGAAAATACTGAGAAAAAATATATAAACAATTATGAAAATAATAAAAGAACACACTTGTGAGGGGAATTAATAATGGTGCTATTAAGGTCCATATATAACTAAATGCATATTGGAATGTCTCTCTCAGAACAACCAGGGACTTCATGAGCTAGCACACACAGCCTATGCTCTTCCACCATTAATTTACTTAGAGGAAGCCTGGTAATAAAACAAATATATCAGATTATCTCTGATAGCTGCACAAAATGGAGAGGGGAAACAATGAACCACATTACACAAAAAGCAAAAGATATTTGACCTTTGAAAGCTTTGCTTGGATCTTATTTAAAAGTCAAGAAGGCAGCTAAACTAGTTTCCACTTCAGAAAGATTTAAAAAATTTATTATTTAGGTCAACTCAGGTTTACTGTTCTCTCTCCCTTTTTCTAGCTTTCTGCACAAGCTAGGATACTGTTGTAGAGTCCACTTACCCAAGCAGGATGTAAGTTCTATAAAATAGGTAGATTTAAGTCAGAAAGGCTGTCAAACACAGGATGTAACTCATTTCAGTATTTTCCTGGGGAAGTTCACATTGTCCACTTTTCACTGAGAATGGGAATTGAGGAATATGACTTTCCTTATGTACAGGGCGTGATGCTTTCTCTTGTTGATTCTGAGCGGACCTATGGTTATCAATTTATCTGATGTAATACATGCTCATTTGCTTTGTATTTATGGATTTTAACTGGGATGTATGGTTCTTTCTTGGCAAATACATATATACCACTCCCTTAGGGGCTATTCTTTTCAAGTTTTCCCACCATCTTTTGGGGACTCTTGTACACTCTGGAGAAAGCTTTTCCATTGTTGTCATGGGAGAGTTTTCTATTAGTGACTCACGTTAAAAGGAAAACATCTTGTCAAAAATAGAACTTAATGAGCTCTGCATTTTATTATGAATTGAAATATGCAAATCAGTAGAAAGAAAATCAAAGGTGGAGGCTCTTAACGTTATAATGTGCCCCTAGCACACTTTAAAAATAACAGTCTCTTAAAAGTATACGGTCATGAAGGTAATATAGATAAACTTACAATAAAAATAAGTATATTTATATTGTCATTTCCTGGCTTCCATATTTAACTCCAGAGTGTTAATGTTGTATTAAGTGTCTAGGTTGATTTAGGCAGAAACACACACATGTGCACACACACACACACACATATCTTTATTAAAAAGAGGAATTGCACAAGAAGATTTGATGGAAGAATTAAAACTAAAGGTCATGAAATTTGATCATCTCCATATTTAAGGTTACTCTAAGTACTCTGCAAATAACAAGGTGCTTTAATGCCGTGCCTGCACTTTCGTCTCATTTAATATGAAACCCGTGAAAGATTGTTCCTGAAGTCATTATCTTCAACTGTTGAGAGCATAGATCATGACTAAGTGACTGAAGTGCCGTGGGAACTCTCAATGGGATCCTGTTCAGGATCTGATATATGTCTCTTGGTATCCATCAAACTCAAATGATGTGCAAAAGAAAAGAAAGGCAGAACTTTAATTTTTTTTAAGTTTCCATCCTGCTTTCAAGGACCAAGGTAAGTTGAGAAACTGGTGCCCAAGAAAATTAAAATATGATTTTAAAAAGTCGTGTGAGAGGAGTGCCTGGGGGCCTCGGTTGGTTGAGCATCTGACTCTTGATTTTGGCTCTGGTCCTGATCTCACAGCTCCATTTGTGAGTTTGAGCCCTGCGTCGGGCTTTGTGCTGACAGTGTGGAACATGTTTAGGATTCTCCCTCCCAATCTCTCTCTCTCTCTCTCATTCCTTCTCCCTCTTTCTATCAAAATAAATAAACTTAAAAAATAAAACTTATAAATAAAATAAAAAAATAAAAATCACATGAGATAATTTTTCAATATTCCCCTTGAGAAAGTTACATCTGGCTTCTTCAAAAAGGACCAGCAAACTTTTGACATAGTAAAGGTTCTGTGAATCATACCTTATTTGTTTCCTTCCTCTTTGCAAAAGTTGGTTAATGTATTTAACAAGTATGTTCTGAATACCTGATATTCATATACGTAGGTGTTAGGAGAGCTGATCATAAAATAATTTTGACTTCAAGAAAAGAGGTAGCTGACTCGGGTGATCAGGGATGGCATCATGGATGAGGAGACATTTCAAAGTGAAATAATCACATCAGTAAATCCACACAAAGGGAGATGAGGAGGTTTGATTTTAACACATGGAGATTATTATACAGGAGAAAATGATGTGCAGCTGAGAAAAGCTGAGACTATTTGAGCTTGATGAAGGTGTAAAAAAGTGGACTCCGGCCAATGGGAAGCCCATTGAGTGTTTTGTGGAAGAGAATGACACCAACCAACGTAGTCTGGAAGGACGACTATAGTGGAAACAAAATATGTGATAACCTAGAATGGGGAGGCAGTGGGGGCAGGGAAGCTCAAGAAAATAATTCTAATGTCTACTGTGGTGGATTCAGGAGAGACAGAAAGGAGAGCATGAAAAACAACAAAGGAAGACTTCCTAGACGAGTGAGGGAAGTTATGAACAGCAAGGAAAGTTCTCGGTCAATGTTACTGCAAGTGCAAATGTGGGTAATAAGGAGAATCATGAATACTTATTATCTCTCTTCAGAGAGAAAGGGTCTTTGAGTTAAATTTAAGGCATTTTCAGTTTGCTTTGAGCATACCACTTGAGTGGAAGATAGCAACAGCTACTAGGAAAGTCAAGTTTGGATGTTAAATCTAAGACCTCCACTGGAGATTTAGAATACAAGACTCCTGAAGAAAGAAGGCAATGGAGCAGAGAAGATATTGTTACTGGACTGCTGGAGGCTGCGCCGGCTCCGACAGGTCCAGGGGTCCCTGAAGGATGGACGGTGTCGGCGAAAGAGAATGAGAGAGCCCCGTGATTCTTTCTGATCACCAGGCAGGCATCTCTGTCCTGTCGGTTTTGGTGTCTTTATTTACAGGTTAAATGATAACATGACATCAGAAAAAGGAATTTTTACAATGGATAACTCTTTGTGATAAGATGCTTTGGAAAGTGTACAGAAGCAGGTTTTACAGAAATATTCTTGCAGAACTATTCCAATTATAGTGAGGTTAAGTAAATCTTATAACTAGAGAATTTGGGTATTCTTAGTAAAAGACAGGATACATATTTGTTCTAAGTTAATAACGCTAAGGTTAGGTCATAGGTTAAGTGTATAGATGGGCTAAGAGTCATTCTGTCTGACTCTCAAATGTATGTTTTTGAGTTGGTTAATAAGTTGTTTGTGGAAACCTATTTGATGCTGGATGTGTGAACACCATGGAGGCCCTAAAAGTGTCAGCCTTTTGTTTGTGGGTAAAGTTTTAGCTACTTTTATCTATCCTCATCCTAGCCACCTGTAAGGGAGGGTGTTTGCAGAAAGTAGGCCTTGGGGAAGGGACTGCCATGCATCACCAATTAGGAGAAGGTGTAAGTATTAACTTAAGTTCTGCCCTTATCTGTACCTTAACTCTAAATTAGGCTCTTTGTCTCGGGGCCAGGCTCAGTTGTAATTCTTGTGTTCTTAACCCCCGAAGTCTTGGATCAGCAAGGCCCTTAGGAAGAGCCTTTTGACAATCATCCATAGAGCTTTCATCTAAAATCTCTCTTGTAAAGGCAGGAATATGCTTTTCCTTATGAGGTATCTGTGTTTAGAATATTGGTCTGATATGGAATATTGGGAGGCCTGGTCAATACCAGCAGGCTTATATCCAACATGAGCTAATGGTAGCAGAAGGAGATACCAGTTTTCATTTCATGGGAGGAGCTGCAAACATTGTCACTTCCTTGCCGTGATTGCCATCCAGAGAGGCCGGTTCGGCTCCTGGCACTGGACAGAGACCCAGTTCCGAATTCGGGTTCAGCTGCTTGCCACTCAAAAATCAATACTCGAGAGACAAGTGAGGGTGGGAAAGGAAACCAGCAACTTACAAAGATGGTGGACCCAACATTTCAAAGACCCTTTTCCCTGTCCAGGTGAAGCTGGAAGGTTTAAAAGGGGAAGGAGCAGGGAACGATAGGAGCTATGTGCAGGAGAAGGCTTGCTCAGGTGGTTACTTGTAGGTCCACAGGAACCTGAACATACTTGCTGGCATCAGGGACTTATGGGGTCAGGTCTTATCTCCTGGGGAAGTCTGGTCTTTCACTCCCCAAGGTCAGTGGTCTGCAAATCTTAAGGAAAGTAGGTTAGTTCTGCTACAGAGCTGGGGACTTAAGTCAGCAAGCAGAAAGTGCAGAGGCTTGAAGCAGGTTAACCCTTAAGACCCAGTGGAGTGCTGTTACAATATTCCCAAAGGGTGAACACAAAAGAGCTGAAAAAGCAGGGTGTGGTAGGGTGAATGATACTCCCAAAGAAAACCGTGCCCTAGTCCTTGGAACCCATGAAAGTCACCTTCTCTGGCAAAGGGGTTCTGTTGATTGGATTAAGTTTAAACTCTTGTGAAGGGGAGATTATCCTGGTGGGCTGTAAATGTAATCTCAAGTGGCCTTGGAAGGGGGTGGCAGAAGGAGATTTGCCTGCAGAAGAAAGGAGGCTAGGAAAGCAGAGATTGCGAGTGATGCAGCCACAGGCCAAGGAATGCTGGAGGCCTCTAGAACATAGAAGAATCAAAGAATAGGTTTGTTCCCAGAGACTCCGGAAAGAACTAGCCCTGCCCATACCTTGAATTTAGCCCTGTAAAAACTGATTTCAGACTTCTGGTCTCCAGAACTGTAAAAGAGCAAATCCCTATTTTTTTCGACCAAGTTTGTAATAAATTCCTAGCGCAGCAGTAGAAACTGAGTGCACAGGGTACATATAAAATGTACAGTAAGAGCAGAAGGAAGAGTCAGAGGTGAGTCCGTAGGGTTCGATGAGTCACAGAAATTAAGGGAGGAGAGAATCTTAAAGAATTCCCTGTATTGAAAAGTACACAGAAATTCTGTATCCCCCAGACTGGAAGTTTAAGATGCAGAAGGGTTAAGGAAGTCAGATATAAGGATGTTAGACTGACTTGCATTCCTGATACAGATTCATAGAGGTTTGAGCTTTCCAGTATGTGGTCCCAAGGCTAGCTCTCTTCTGTTCTCTAATGTTTAAGAGAAAATATTTTTCTATGTATCCCATTGAGCTTTCATCTTTTTGTATGCATATTTGGAGACAGAATATAATACTGTGGTGCTCTCCCTGGGAGATTTCCATGTGAGCTCCAGGAAGCTGGTGAGCTAGCAGGCTGAATTACCCGGATGAAATACTAGTTTCTGACTCTCTTTCTTTGAAGTTCTAAGAAGTCAGAAATGCAAACATTTTTATACCTAACTGCATAATAATTTCTTTCCAAGCCTCCATAGTTCATAAAATGGTGGTTTAGATGCATATGTGTGTGTCTCTGTGTGTCTATGTGTAAGGTTTGGTAATGATATGACAATAGATGGATTTACATAAACTCAGGTTCACACATCAGTGTATGAAATTGTCCTGGCTCCCTACCTGATCTGACCTTGAGACTAAAGAATGTTTACATCAGTGATGAGTCTATCAGTTCTTGATGAATCACAATGCTTGCTTATGTTTAATCATTGCTGATAGTACCAGCTGACAGCAAGACCTGAGGAGAGAAAGGGGAAAAACGTAAAGCAATTGAAATCTATTTAACGGAGGAGAAAAAAATTTTTTTACAAATGACTGTTTTTGCATATGGATGGAGTGAACTGAAGGTTATTCTGTATATTTATATAAAGTACATGAAATTACAGAGGATGCATTTATTTCCTTTTGAAAATAAACACTGTAAATGTTTCCTGATAAGCCCTTTAATTTAAGATACCAGAATGGATTATCCTTTGACTTTTTAGTGTGAGAATTGCTTGTCCTAGCATTCCGAAGGAGTGAGAGATTCTCTCCCTCATAGGTCAAAAAATGATTTTGATGGGATAGAAGATAGAGGAAAGAAGGCAATGATGTCATTAAGGGTCTTAACCATGGAGGGTGGACAGGAACAAGCATATTTGGCTTAAATAGCATGTGCTTCCCCCAGCATACCAACCACTGGCCAAAGGAGCACTGCTGAGCTCTGCTGGACAAATACTTGAATTTCATAGCAAGGAAAACCTTAAATTTATGTGTATACAACCAGAAAATGGTTTTCTTTGCCAACACAAAGGAGAGCAAAGGTATACTCCATCACTGGCCCGAACACACATTTTCTTCTCCATAAATGTCTTTTTTTTTTTTTCTTAAAATTTATTTCTAGGAGAGAGAGAGAGAGACAGCGTGAGCAGGGGAGGGTCAGAGAGAGAGGGAGTCACAGACTGAAACAGGCTCCAGGCTCTGAGCTGGCAGTCAGCACAGAGCCCGACGCGGGGCTCGAACCCACGAACCGCGAGATCATGACCTAAGCGAAAGTCGGACGCTTAACCGACTAAGCCACCCAGGCGCCCCTCTCCATAAATGTCTTTAAGGTGCTGTGGATTTGTCTGCAAACCAGTCCTGATGGGTCACAGTTGAGGATGTTTTCAAAGGAACACGACTGTGTTGATGCACTAGCTTTTGTGTAACCATGGCAACAACAAGGTTCTTCTCCAGTGTCTTAATTGGGAGAGGGCAGGAAATAGAGCATGGGACTTGATAGAGATCTTGTTTCCAGCTGGGAAGGGAAGAGGGAGCTATGGGCATGGTATGTCATTTGTCCTTTTCATTCCACATGTTGCAAGGGTGGACCTTGGACAGCTTCTGCATTCTTCTCCAGTCTTTGTCATACACTGGCACTCAGAACCACAGATTCAGTTCTAAGTAATGCTTGAAAAGAATTGTTAGTAATGTTTCAGTGGCCTCAAGTGGTTCTACACTGGCTTAAATGAGTTGGAACTTGGAGTTATACATCCAGGCCCAGGCACAAAAGTACAGGTCCCAGATGAAGCTGCTAGGGCCAATGTTTTACTCTCTCATACTGCCCATCTCTGCAGTGGCTCTCTATTCCAAGTAAATATGTCCCAGTTCTTCTTTGTGACAGCCAGTGTTAGGTTCTGATTCCCTGGAAACCCTGAACCCTTGTAAACCACATGCCATTACCAGTCACTCTATTTTGTGCTCAGCGATAAGACTGGGTTTAGCTCGGTTCCACACCTGCTTAGTTCCTATCCCCGTTTCTTAAAGTCCCTTTCCCAACTAGACGTTGAGCATATCCCTCTCCTGTACCCACAGAGAGATGTCTAGCAAGGCATGGGTGTAGCTAGATGGTATCTTCCTGTTTCCTGAATATTGACTGTTGACATGGTTCTACTGTGCTGAGCATGTGTTTGGAAAGAAGGTCTGAGAGTTTCACCTGCCACAAGTACAGTTGCAGATAGAGTAATTCTTGCCTGGAAGCCAGGTCATGCCGGTGGCCTGGTTAATAGGCTTTTGAAGATCTCAACTCCCTCCTGTTTCCTCAGATCATAAGGGCTGAGGAATCATAATGCCTCAGATCATAATGCCTTTTCCCTCAGAGACTACAGAAAGTAAATCAAAACTCAAAATTGCTTTTGTTTAGTTTTGTGCTTAAACTATGCACAAAACCCACTGTTTGCACCAAAGCTGGAGGGCTGCAGTCAGTCTGCGGTCTGTCTGTCTACACTGCACCTCCTTGAGCTCCATAGTAGGTCTCTTCTGAGACAGATGTTGCTGGGGAGCAAAGAGAAATGGTGGCTGTTTAGGCCAAGTATATACTAAAAGGTAGGAAAAGACTCCTCATTTTTTTTTTAAATTTTAAGTTCTATCACAATAACTTTGTTCAAAGGATACTTACTTGGGATGGAGGAGCAAAGAGGCTGAAGACACCATGAGCCTTGGAAAGCAGGGCTGGAGGTGCTGCTGGACTCGACAGTGGGTGTAGAGGACAAAGACACCACTGAGCAAGATATTCGCTCCAGCCAAGTTGCCTAATAAAAGGCTTCGGGGGGGAATTCAGCCCTAAATGCAACTAATGCATATGTACTCATCTGAAATATTTCTGCCATTTTATCTAAAGTGGAATATTTCCAAGAGCTGATTATAAGCATGTGAAAAAAAGTCTTAGTTGCTATTTTTTCAAACATCAATCAGTTCACAGGGATGATTATATTCAACTATTGAGGGAAGCATTGACGTAATCTATCCAAACGTGCTCCTGAGTCATCGCCGAAAATGTGTGTATCTATGGTCTGCTGTATCTTGCCTTGACGCTTCTCTCCTTTTTAATTAGCAATCTTTCCCTTTTGTGTGTGTGTGTGTGTGTGAGCGCACACGCGCGCTTTTTTTCCTATGCATTTAAGATTTCTAGTCTAGAAAGATTCCTACCAATAGTAACTACAATCTGAATGGTGAAATCAACAGCACAGCAAACATCGTCCTTAATGACATGAGACCTGTTGCCTCCTCAGTCTCATGAAAAATGTTCGTTCACATAAATATTTTTAAATGTTAAAAAAGATTGTGTGAAAAAAGCATATTGACTCCACCTTTTACAGATTGGAAAGATTCTCACAGCTCTGTGCCAACAAGTTTTTATTTTTATTTTTTGCAAGAATCATTTTATAGTTATTTTCTTTCTTTTTTTTTTTTTTACAAATAGTTTATTGTCAAATTAGTTTCTACATAACACTCAGTGCTCATCCCCAAAGTGCCCTCCTCGATGCCCATCCCCTCCTTCCCCCCACATCCATCAGTCCTCAGTTTTTGTCAGCATTCGAGAGTCTCTCATGGTTTGCCTTTCTCCCTTTCCCCCACCATTTCCGCCCTTCTTCTCCCCCTTGTTCCTCCGTCAAGTTCCTCCTAATCCTCCTATACGTGCAC